GAGCAAGAAGCTTGCGTCTATTGGTAACGTAACTAATACTGATCAGGGCTTAAATAAGGATCTCCGAAATAAGTAAAACAAAAGTAATAAAGGCTACACACACCACTTGTTCTTCAGATCTTCAATTAAAGCCTTGTCCCCGGTCGAACATACTTCTTTAGGCTGAAATAGGAAGACGAAAATTGTGTGTTTTCTATTTTGGTCGCAATCTCTTTTCACTACATATCAGTGTTTGACCTGTCTTTAGCAACTTGGCCGTGTTATCAGAAAGACCTAGACGGAGAAACCTTGTCTGAAATCTGCTGGCGTAGTTGCCGTGATTATTTCCAGCTTTGCACCGGGCATTTGGTAGATTCCCAGACGTTTCACCGGAATCGTAGTCGGCATCGTCAGTGAATCTTGTCAATCTTAGCATAACTCATCAACGAGACAAGTGAAGTCATCCCCTGACCAATTTTCTGCCAAATAATTTCTCTGGCATTTCTCCTTTGCATACAAATTGAATGAAGTAATTTATGAACTGAAAGGTGTGCTAAAACCACATTAAACTCGCTAAAAATGGCGCTTCTAGACGAATCACAAAGAAACAAGATACACATTGTGGTAGAATGGATGGGAACTAAGAGGGTAGGGACAAAAGAAGACGGAATGCCACAATTGTTCGCAGAAAGTTGGTGATTCGACAGACGTCATTTGTTTCGGAAGATTTGTAACTTGGCGGTAAGAATTGCGAGACTCACTGGCTATGTCAAATACGCGGCAGATGCAACGTCTGCAAATGTACCAAGGGCATGATTTGACACTGGAACTTATCATACCTATTCCGGCAGAGGAATTTGGACAAGGTACCTTCATTTAGGTCGCTATAACAATACAATAATATTGGGCAAAAGGGTTCAAACTACTTCTAGGCTTCGTTAGGCTACGTCCACTGAGGTGTGTTGTATCGTTGGACAAAGTCAGCGACTTGAAAATGCGAAAGAATCCAAGCGATCTTCTACACGTCTTATTAGGTCTCGTAAAAATGATCGCTTTTGGTATATTGAGGAGACATACTCCTCGCAAACAATTGCAAAATCTACCTTTGCGAAGAAAATTTGTGCTTCGAGGACTCTCTTGTTTCATAATTGTTGAGCTTTCTTCCATTTCAAGTGAAAGTGTTGGGTGAAGAGATTCGAAGGTCGATTCGACAAAAATACGACGGCTGATTCCTCTTGACCAACTGTCGATTGGCCTGACTGGAAGATTAATGCTGACGCTGTTTACGAGGCAATCTCATTCGATTCCGGTGAAAAGTTGCTAAGCTTTCGTCCGTCATGTGACGAACATCATCAGAGTATGATACCATCGTCACGATCGAATTCAAGCTAACGAGTCAAGAAACCTCACCGGCAAATCCCTAAAAAGTGGTATATATACTCTTCATCTGGACTATTTGATCAGGTATAAATTGATTTGGTTAGTTGAGGTCATATGTCAACTTCGATGCATGTGAGTGTGTCTGTCTCTGTATGTGTATTCGCCTGTGTGTGTTCGCTTATGAATTTTACCTGCCCGTTTGAAGACGTTTTTGCTTCATGGAGCAAAAAGACGGAGTCGTTCCAATTACAGAAATAGGAAATAACACAGAAATCTCGATCTCCTTTTGTTGGTGAACAAGTGAATTTAATTTGTTGGTAAAGCGAAAAGCATTCGCTCGAAATTGAGATAAATTTGAGCCTGGATATTTCAGCATTAGGTCTAGCCCCAGCACACGGATTCCTACAGCCAAATCTATCAGACTGGGCTGCCAGTGGCCAGATTGCCGCGGGTGGAAGG